CACACACACACGCACACACACACATAATATGATTTAAAGTCTGATAACTTACAAGGTTTTTGTGTTTTTGGGTCACACGCAGGTCTGTGTTATGTTACTATATTGGAGCCAAAGCTGTGTCGTGTCCTGCTGATGTTGTATTTTAAACCCAACACTAGAAAATGCCAGTGCTGTTTTTCTCTTTCAGTTTCCATCCGGCCACACATAACCAGCACGTATTGACCCACCAGCTTCATTCATCAGGCTTGATTTATCAGATGCACATCCAGCATTGATCTACTGACCCATTTTCCAGATTGACATGTCTGACAGCAGCTCTCCATCTTTTAGCATTTAGTGGGATTCGGCCTCTACTTCTGGATGAATAAAAAGCCTGACTTACATTTTTGAGAAGTTCATATTCAGACAGTGGTGTGAATTTGTTTGTTGGTGACATGACAGGGACATTCCTGAGCAGACTGAGTCAGTGTCACTGACACCGCGCTGAGGTTGTGATGCCCGAGTTGCTCAGGATACCAGATAAGATACGAGGAGCTGTGTGTCATGCTTGAGCGGGATTCTCCTGTCGACTAGCCTAGTTTCACAACTCTGTGGGTTATAGTCGGTGCCGCTCGTGTGTCTGTGTTTGTTGTTTGGGACACCACCCAGTTGTGAAAATGGGAGGAATGTGGTGACAATCTTTTATCTTTACTTCTCAGCAACTTTTATAATCTGATATCAGTTATCATAAACAAAAGCAAATGTCTGGTTGACAGTATCTGACTCATCTGTCAAACAGCTGACATCAGGAGTATAGAACCAGCAGCATCCTGACTTGCACTTTATCAGAGGGGAGGATCAGCACACACTCTTCAAAACACAATGTGAACTAAAATCACGCTCTGAGACGTAGGCTATATGTGATTAAACTGCAGTGTAACATGACAGCATACAGCTGATAATTACAAAGACCTGTGACTCTCAGAGTAACTCACTGCCAGACTTATAACGGCCTGCAGCAGAGTCTTTAATTATTGAAGATGTCGTCAAAGGGGCTTGAGAGGACCCCGTGCCTGTGACCATGTTGGTTCCTGGAAGATCTCCATATTCACACATTCACATGACTGTTTTTCAACACAAAATGTATCTGTAAATAATTCAGAGCACAGAGAGATCAATGAGAATATAGGTTACTGTGGCAGCATGGTCTGATGCTGTTTAAAAATGAAAAATAACGCACAGTAGGCCTTCTTTCACAAGCCTCTTTAAGAAAGAGCTACAAGGTAGCATGGTACAATTATATATATGTAATTTATTTTTTTTTTTTTATTAAATAAAAAAATTAAAAAATAAATTACAGACTAGAAGATGAGGGTAATTGACTGTGTAAACAACAAAATAGAAGAGCAATGCAGATATCTGCTGTTTAGTGTTGAGTAACACCGCTAAAATGCTAGAATTTGGATGGTTTGTACTACACAATAGTGCTGTTCTTCTTTTAATTATGTCATTAAAAAGCCCACACACAGTGGAGAAGTTCAGTTTAGTGACTCCAGCTAGCGACGGTGAAGCGTAGTACACACTGACCACTTACAAAAGCCTGTGATAAACGGGTGCATTTAAAGTCTCCACATTCTCACACAAGAAACGCCTCAGTTACTCCAACATCCAACCAGAAGAGCAGTCTGACCACACCTTGCATGTATGTGAGCCATTAGCACAATGATCAATATTAATCTTAAATAGCATTGTCCTTTTGTCCTCAATAGAACATGTACCTCACTATTTTATTTTTTATTTATTCATTTTTTGTGGTAATTGCTGTTGCATCATAATAGGCTAAGTATATGAACTGTAACTTGCTTGTGTTGAGCAACATTTACCTAGTTTGTACTTGTAGTTGTTGTAGTTGTACACTAAGAATGCTGAAGTTATTTACTTTGCAGTCTTATTGTAGATTTCAGTTGTGCAGCAGCTCCGACACACCTTTAGGACACACCTTTGTTCAAAATACAAATTAGCATTTGACTACCAAAATGAGTGATTTCACATGGACCTGAGTGTAATCAAACTGTACATGTGGAACATTTATATGATTCTAATGATCGCAGTGTACGCATATGAATGTCTATGTGTACTGTCTGCTCTGCAATGAGGTAAATCCCAGTTATTTTGATTTCCATTTGTGTTTGTTTCACATGTCACATTCAACATAAGTGCCCGTACATAAGTGAACCATCAACAGCGTTTGACTTACCTCTACATAAAAAGTGAACAATGTGAAAAAGTTCTGCAGGTTATTGCTTCCAATCGACAGATTTGACTTTTTAACATTTATTTCATGTGTTTCTGCTTCCAGAACACGATGAATCTTCCTCCAGACAAGGTCAAGATCCTCAGCCAGTACGACAGTGAGAAGAAGTGGGACCTGATCTGTGACCAGGTAGACTTTCAATATTCTGTTCAGGACTTATTTACTTTTTTTTTTATTCTAATAAACTGTAACTGAGTTTTTCTGTTGCAGTGGGTTGAGCTGCAAAGAACAAAAAAGGCCTGCAAGGAGAAGTCTATAAGGCTTAAGAAAATACAAATGTTTTGGAGACAACAGAAAAAAGGAGAAATAAAGATGTTCCTAAAAACATGCATTTCTTATTATTTTATAGTCATAACAGTGAAAGACAAAGATTTTAAAATCCTACAGACCCTCCTACTACTCTACCTGCACACTGGGGTTTATGCTCAGCAGGCAGTGATACAGCACAAATTACCGCAGCAATGTAAACACTGACAATGAGGTAAATGTAAAGTTACCTCGGTAAGAAAGAGATTCTGCTTTGTAGTAAAGTACATGTTAATAGGCTTGGAGTGTAAACAAACATGAGAAGCCATTAAAGGTAGATAAAAGAAGAAACGTTAAAGGACGGTTTTAATCAATTAATCGAATTGAACTTCTTGTAAGATGGCTGAATGCCAAAGTTAAGAAACCAACACAGACTTACGTATACACTAACACAAGGAAGCTCATCAATATTGTACACCACCATAGCAACTACAAGAGAGTCCATAACAACCTGTGTGTTGATGCGAGAGCGATAGATAAACCCGTCGCTGTCATACAGCTTCTCAAGTAAACAGTTTGGCACATTTCAGAAAGTGTCAGCTTTTCGGTTTAACTAAAGGCCGTGAACAGTGAAAAGTGTGTGTGTGAGAACGTAGCCGCTGCATGGCAGTCGAATCATTTCAACCATTTGCATAACTGAGGCGGTGTAATCAGCCTGTTCCTGTGAGACCCCGGCTGAGCTCTGCCCTGCCTTTTCCATCGCTGCAGCGCTGCAATCAAACATAATTAGAGGTCTGAATGTTTCTTTCCTCCATCTTTAGGAGCGCTTTCAAGTGAAGAATCCACCATCTGCTTACTTGGAGAAGCTGAAAAGCTTTGTGGATCACGGAGGAGTCAGTCGAAAGGTACATCGGAGCAAACTCAAATCAAACATTTTAATTTCAAGCTTCTGTTTGTTTTCAAAAAGTAAACATGAACTTCTTGAAAAAGCCTCATTGATTTTAGACCTTTTGATAAAATTCTTGAGCTTTTTGAGGCAGGAAATAGAACAGCACCACAAATATTTTACTGTAAGAAATATTTGTGGGTTGAAGTTGGCCCTGTCTGTTCAGGCAGAGTTACTTTGTGTGCTGTGATTACTGTTCTGTACTTATTAAAAATATTTAGGACACCCCTGTTCCTGACTGCAAATATATCCAGCATTCCTTTATCATGTTATGTAAAGCCAACACCTGGATAAGCCAAGGTTCATAGACTATAGAGCCTTGGCTATATGTTTGGAAAAACTGAAATGTTTCTATTTAATTCTTTAAAAATAATAAAAGAAAACCTCCAAACTGCTCTGGTTAGTCAGTAGCTATGCAGTGACACACCTCCAGCTAAGCCTTCTGGCAATATGCAGTCTTTTTTCATCACCTGTAATCTAAAAGTATTTCAAATATTGGTATTTCAGCTGTTTTATCCAACAAACTAAGTGCAAACTAAATCCAGTCCAGTCCAGTCCATGCAACTAAAAGACCACCTGATAGCTCCGTAGCTCGCAGAACCACCTTTAACTTTAGTAATGTTGTTTTTTTGTTTGTTTGTTTTGAATTATCAGTTTCTTGAACCTGAAAAAGCAGGTTCTTTAGGTGGATTACTTTAAATGGATGAAGAGCAGAGAGGCACATAATGATCAATTACTTAATATATTATAATGAGTATAATAAGATATCTTTAAGTATTTTTTTGACCTCATTCTCACCTTGTATATGCTTTATCAGTTTAGGAGACGCGTCCAGGAATCCACACAGGTCTTGAGAGAGCTGGAGATTTCCCTGAGGACCAATCACATCGGGTGAGTCTCTCCCATGTGGGTACAATATGATTGTACCATTGATAGAGATAAGAAGCTGATTATAGCACACAAATTACACCGAAGCAATGAATTCAAATAAAAATGTGAATTCTTCAACCACCTGTAACACATTTAATGAAATATAGTGAGTATTAGCAAAATTACAACTTTTAACTCATGTTTTTAAAACACTTCTTTACTAACTTTTCCTGCCATGCTCTGCCTCTGAGTTACATTTGTTTTGTGTTGTCCTGCTGTAGATGGGCTCAGGAGTTCTTAAATGAGGAGAACCAGGGTTTGGACGTTCTTGTGGATTATCTGTCTGTCGCCCACAGCACTGTCACGTAGGTATCAGCTTAAAAGATATCTCAGAGCAGTTGCTGCTGAACTGTCTCAGCCACACAGTCACTCACTAGTCCAAGAAGGTCACAAAATTTAATTAACATTACTTTTAATGGTGATACTCACAGGTATGAGGTGGAGACTGTGGACAACGGCACGCTGCCCACAGACAAAGGCAAAACTACTGACAAACCAGGGGAAGATCTGAAAAGAAGTGCCAGCAACTCACCCACACACAGCGCCTTGAAGGGCGGCAAGGCCTTCACAGTCAGGTACAGTGTGATAAACACCAAAAGCACAGTGATAAATGTATGGGCTACTTTAATTTATTTCATTGTTATTACATTAAAATGACTTACTGATGTTATTGATACTCTGAAAAGTGAGAAAAGTAACATTTTAAACTGACTTAAGTGTTTATCCAAAAACAAGTTTTCTAAAAATAGACACATGGCCGAGGGTATATCGACAGCACGCCCATGATCCACATCTCACTGCAAACTTGTTAAGGATTTCTTAAAGCTGGCTGCAGGGACCTATTTCCATTCAGCTGATGTAGTCGTAGGAGCTCATTCTCAACCCTGGAGACTCAATTAGTACCACTTTAAAAAGCTGCCGATGTGGCTAATTTACACGTAAAGTGTCCTTTGGAGTGTGTGCTGTGAGGCACTGTTTTAATGCATAAGTGAGAGTGATTGGTCACTCCTAACAGGTCATTTGGGAATGAGCAGGGTCACATGCTTTTAAACTCAAATCATGATCTCCTCCTAGCCTTCACCTTCAGCAGCTGCAGACGTGTCCTTCTTATCTTTCTGATGGGAAGTGGCTGCATTCCTCTCATAGCGAGTACGCCTCCTTACGTAGGTGTTTGGGGTCCTTTTGTTCAGACGGGGTGTGCTTAGGTGTGAATGTGAAACATGTCGCTAAGTGACGCAAAATACAATTATGAGAGCATGCTCTCAGTGGTTTTGTTTTCATCTGGTGAATGATGGCTGGCATGAGTATTATTTGAAGTATTTGCTGCAGAAGTTTTTGAGCTTCTTAAAACAGAGTCTGCAGTTTCTGACGATGGACTTTATTTATTTATTTCTAAATTAATTCATTAAGAATTAGTTGGCACATTCTTCTATAAAAGTGGGTAAATGGGTAATAGTTATTGGCTTTATTTTCAGTGCTATTCTAGGTCTTATTAATAAAGCGGCTCTTCAGTTAAGCCTCAGTTAAACCTGGCTGATTTACCTCTCTAAAACAGAAAAGCCTTGAGGAACTCGCGTGTTGTGAGCCAGAAAGATGATGTTCATCTCTGCATCATGTGTCTGCGTGCCATCATGAATTACCAGGTACCTAAAACCACTTACACACTATGTATTATTGTTATTTATTAATTGATCCTTAGAGTTTAACTTTTATTTCCCATCAGTCATTCTCTAAAGATAGCAGAAAAAATGTTGATATTCACTTATTATACACTTGTCCTTTGCTGTTTTAAATTCATATTAAGAAACAAATGCCATATGTAAGGTCAGAGTTCAGTTCAATTTTAAAGTATTGTTTCATTTCAGCAGTTCATATTGTTTTCTGGTCCACACAAGAGCCACTTAATCTGGTCATGTTTCATTTCATTCTTTAATCTTATTTGGCAAACTGTTGGCAGATTTTTGTGTTTTTTTACTTAGTCGGGGTTTAACCAAGTGATGAAGCATCCCTCCTGCGTGAACGAGATCACGCTCAGCCTGAACGACAGAAACCCGAGGTAAACACCACGCACAGCCTGAACATGAAACTACAGTGGCTTGCAAAAGTATTCAGCCCCCTTGAACTTTTCCACCTTTTGTCACATTACAGCCACAAACATGAATCAATTTTATTGTAATTCCACGTGAAAGACCAACACAAAGTGGTGCACACGTGAGAAGTGGAACAGAAATCAGACATGATTCCAAACATTTTTTACAAATAAATAACTGCAAAGTGGGGTGAACGTAATTATTCAGCCCCCTGAGTCAATACTTTGTAGAATCACCTTTTGCTGCAGTTACAGCTGTCAGACTTTTAGTCTCTACCAGCTTTGCACATCCACAGACTGAATCTTTGCCCATTCTTCTTTGCAAAACAGCTCCAGCTCAGTCAGATTAGATGGGCAGCGTTTGTGAACAGCAGTTTTCAGATCTTGCCACAGATTCTCGATTGGATTTAGACACCAGACAGGTCAGAGATAAAGTTATTGAGAAATTTAAAGCAGGCTTAGGCTACAAAAAGGTTTCCCAAGTCTTGAACATCACACGGAGCACTGTTCAAGCCATCATTCAGAAATGGAAGGAGTATGGCACAACTGTAAACCTACCAAGACAAGGCCGTCCACCTAAACTCACAGGCCGAACAAGGAGAGCGCTGATCAGAAATGCAGCCAAGAGGCCCATGGTGACTCTGGACGAGCTGCAGAGATCTACAGCTCAGGTGGGGGAATCTGTCCATAGGACAACTATTAGTCGTGCACTGCACAAAGTTGGCCTTTATGGAAGAGTGGCAAGAAGAAAGCCATTGTTAACAGAAAACCATAAGAAGTCCCGTTTGCAGTTTGCCACAAGCCATGTGGGGACACACTACAGTGGTGGGTCTTATCACCAACGGTGATGAGACGGCTTACAGGGAGGAGGTCAGCGCCCTGACCCACTGGTGTCAAGACAACCATCTCACCCTCAACGTCGCAAAGACAAAGGAGTTGATAGTGGACTTCCGGAGGTGCAGAGAAGTACACACCCCCATCACCATCAACGGCGCTGCTGTGGAGAGAGTGAGCAGCTTCCGGTTCCTTGGTGTACATCTGGCTGAGGATCTTACGTGGTCAGTACACACAAACAAAACAGTGAAGAAGGCGCAGCAGCGCCTCTTCTTTCTCAGGAGACTGAAAAGATTCGGCATGAGCCCCCGCATCCTCAGGACCTTCTATCACTGTGCCATTGAGAGCATCCTCACTGGATGCATCACCACCTGGTATGGCAACAGCACCGCCTACAACTGCAAAGCTCTCCAGCGAGTAGTGCGGTGCTCTGAACGGATAATTGGAGGTGAGCTTCCCTCCCTCCAAGACATCTACAGGAAGCGCTGCCTGAGGAAAGCGGGGAGGATCATCAAGGACTCCAGTCACCCCAGCCATAAACTGTTCAGACTGCTTCCATCAGGAAGGAGGTTCTGCAGCATCCGGTCCCGTACCAGCAGACTGAGAGACAGCTTCTTCCACCAGGCCATCAGACTGCTGAACACGTCATAGACACCTCAGCTTCACTACTGGAACTTCAACATTATGCACTCCACACTGTATATAAATGCCACTTGTTTTGCACATATTCAACTCTGTATATTTTTATATATTTTATTTATTATTATTATTTTTTACTATTTAATTTGTAAAATGTGTATACACACACACACACACACACACACACACACACACACACACACACACACACACACACACAGGAAAATGTTTAGTATACACATCCAGAAATGCATACACTATTATATATTGTACATATATTTATTAGTTTCAGATGTAGCCATTCTTGTATTTGCTGGTTTGTGTTGTTGTGTTTGCACATTTCTGTTGCTTGTGGGCTCGCACACAAGAATTTCACTCGCATGTGCTGTGCCAGTGTGCCTGCACATGCGATGTGACAATAAAAGTGATTTGATTTGATTTGATTTGATTTGATTTTAATGTGAAGAAGGTGGACTGAGATGAGACCAACATGGTACTTTTTGGCCAAAATGCAAAACGCTATGTGTGGTGGAAAACTAACACTGCACATCACTCTGAACACACCATCCCCACTGTCAAATATGGTGGTGGCAGCATCATGCTCTGGGGGGCTTCTCTTCAGCAGGGACAGGGAAGCTGGTCAGAGTTGATGGGAAGATGGATGGAGCCAAATACAGGGCAATCTTGGAAGAAAACCTCTTGGAGTCTGCAAAAGACTTGAGACTGGGGCGGAGGTTCACCTTCCAGCAGGACAACGACCCTAAACATAAAGCCAGGGCAACAATGGAATGGTTTAAAACAAAACATATCCATGTGTTAGAATGGCCCAGTCAAAGTCCAGATCTAAATCCAATCGAGAATCTGTGGCAAGATCTGAAAACTGCTGTTCACAAACGCTGTCCATCTAATCTGACTGGGCTGGAGCTGTTTTGCAAAGAAGAATGGGCAAAGATTTCAGTCTCTAGATGTGCAAAGCTGGTAGAGACAGACCCTAAAAGACTGGCAGCTGTAATTGCAGCAAAAGGTGGTTCTACAAAGTATTGACTCAGGGGGCTGAATAATTACGCACACCCCACTTTGCAGTTATTTATTTGTAAAAAAATGTTTGGAATCATGTATGATTTTCGTTCCACTTCTCACGTGTACACCACTTTGTGTTGGTCTTTCACGTGGAATTCCAATAAAATTGATTCATGTTTGTGGCTGTAATGTGACAAAATGTGGGAAAGTTCAAGGGGGCCGAATACTTTTGCAAGCCACTGTATACTAAACTATAAGCTGAAAAATGTACAAGAACTATGGATGTGATTATCTGCGAGGTGTTAGTGTTCAGGACGGACTTTAAATGTCCCGCGTCTTTATTAGACATGGGACTAATAAAGGTATCTTATCTTATCTTAAAGTAGTTGCTGGGCATTGCACAGTGCATAAACGTCAATCGTCTTTTCAGGACTAAAGCTCTGGTGCTGGAGCTGCTGGCGGCCGTGTGTTTGGTGAGAGGAGGTCATGACATCATCCTCGCCGCCTTTGACAACTTCAAAGAGGTCAGTAGAGTCATTGCAGTGGCTGACAGTCATCACATGTATTTTTGAGGTGTGTCATTGGTAGCTGCCGCTTTAGGAGATTCCTGCTCTCTGTGTGAACATTAATTAACTGAATTAATTTGAGCTTCTGATTGATTTAATCAACATTGGTGAACAAGAAGATGACCAGAAATAAGCTGAGACAGCTTCTAGTAGTAATGATGTGTTTTGTTATTTAATTTTTGAAGTTTTGGCCCTCCATACTAAAACATGCACGTTAGATTTAAGCTGGGTGCTCGCTGTAAAGGGGATTTCTCCACCAGTATCTCATTTAGAGCACGAAAAGTTTAGGATTTTTGAGACTCATATGGATATTTAGTGATTTTAAAATGACTATTTTTTTATTCACATTCATTATATGTAGTTTTTATGAGTTCTTACCAAAATAATATGAACATATAACTTAAAATATAATGGAAAATATCAGTTAATCTGCTGATGTGGCTGAAATTTAAAGTTTAGGTCATTTAGTAAATAATTTGTGCTGCAAAAATCTGCTTTGTTTTCCAATTTTCTGAACCACATATTCATTTCAGAGGTCTAGGGCTTACCTTGTTATTAGGATACATCCTGGATGGACTGCTTATCCATCACAGGTCTAACATAACTATAGCCAATTTAGAATCACACATTATCCTAAAAGCAGGTCTTTGGACTGATTAGAACCCCAGAGAAACCCCACACAGGAACAAGGAGATCGTGCAAAGCCAACCATGGTTTTAGACCTTCTTTCTGTGTTCAGCAGTGATGACTCATCTCACATTCACACTTAAGGGATCAGAAGCTTAACATAGATCTATGGCACAGCACTCACATACCAGCAGGTTATGGGGGAACCCCAGGTCGAGCTGCCCGCCGTCAGCTGCTCCGTCCAGCTGTTCCTCTGCCAAACAACACTGACCGAAGAGGTATAAATATGTGAAACACTTGCTGAGTGGCCTCTCACCTCTCCTTGACCTTCTTCTGTCTTTGATTGAGAAAGCAGCACCTGTTGCTTCCTGTGGCTGTGGAGACAGAAGCTTAAACCTGAACCAGGAGAAAACATTCAGGAAGTCAAAAGCTGCTCTGCAACAAGCAGACACCCATTAAGTATTTCTTTCAGTTCCTTCCAGTGAGCTAAACTGACCCCTCGTATTAAATTGCTTCTTTGGTCACTGTTATGTTAATTTAAATATTCAAATTTAAGCACATCTCACATTTGAGCTCATTTTAAATAATGGATTTACCCTGGAGGAGTACAAAACACAGAACAATTTTATTTCAATTTCAATCCTTAAAGAGGATCTTTTCTCTATTTCTCGCTCTGCATTTTTTATTAAAGGATCTGATTACGGTAGCTTTGCATCATTCACAGTTTAAAATAATCCCTATTTCTCTTGTACTGAGTTTGATTGATCTTCTGCTTCTGAGGCCATGTTGTTCGGGGCTTTTTGCACTTGGTTACGTCTCCCAAGGCAAATTAGTCCTGGGTGAAGGGGCAAATGAAGAGTCATTCGGATGATGACATGAAAAACAAAAAATCCAGGATCCAGTTTACCCTGCCTGGCATAGAGTAACCGGGGCACCACCCTGGAGCCAGGAGCAGGCGAGGTGGAGTGCCTACTGGCAAGGCCTCACCCATGGGGCCTGCAGGGCACAGCCTGAAGAGGAGACATGGGTCTGTCCTCCTGTGAATGCATGGATGAATGAATGGATGCCATTCGGAGATCTTTAGATGCTCTGAAATCTCACCTACCACGCAATATCCTTGGGAATTGGTTGGTTGGCCAGTCGTTAAGTTGTTAAGACAGAAAATAAGACCCCTGTCATCTCTAAAGCAGCTCTGTGTGTTCAGGTCAATGCCATTCTTTCATGTTTTGGTGTTTGCGGAGTTTCTTTAAAAAGACTTCTATATACATGTTAAAAAAAATGAAGTGATGAATTAAACACCCGTCCGTTTGTAAACCCTCTGGCTGCATCAGCTTTAACCCGTTTGATTAATGTGGCATCGATTATCAGAGCTGTGACTCGAGTGTCACCGTGAGCGGAGCTTGTCGTCGGTGCCGCAGCAGTGTCGGCATGTGTGTGTGGGCGAGAGCTGGAAGAAGATGGGGAGAGCGATAGAGGCGGCCGGGCGCGGGGCCAGGAGCTGGCTCATGTGTCCCTCAGCAGCAGAACATGGGCTTTGTTTAGGGTTGTGCTGGCTGTTCGATTGGCCTGGTGCATTATTCAGTGGACATGAGTGGGCAAGAAAGGGGCAGGTAGATTACCACACAGCAACGGATGAGACAGGGAACTTGCTGACATGCCAGCAGTTAGGAAAACACAGTCATAAAGAAGCCACGTTTTCTCTGCCAGGAAATCATGCGGCACACAAACACCGGGGATTGTTTACACCTGCAGAGCGAGCTGCAATCATCCTGTGCTGCTTTTATTACAACCATTATTTCTGTTTGTCCCTGAAATGAGCTGAATTTCTCCACAAACAGCCGACAGAGCCTCCTCTCTCTCAACGCTGCGCTGTTTAATTAGACCGCATGTTTGCTGAAATCCTGATGCATCGTTACGGCTGCAACAATGTTTCTGTGTGAGCACACTGCCCCCATGTGTGCACACACGGGGAAGGCAGCAAGCTCCAAATCTCCACGGACGTCACCTAGATTTATAAACCTGCAATGGGCACAATAAAAAGAATAAGAGGGTTGAATACTCAGCTGCTGTTTGATCTGATCTTTATTATTATTATTATTATTGTTTTCAGGTTTGTGGGGAGAAAAACCGATTCGAGAAGCTCATTGAGTATTTCCACAATGAAGAAAGCAACATCGACTTCATGGTAAAGCAGCAATTGCATTCAAATACATGCATGCAAAACACTTTTCAGGTTCACTATGTAATGACAACATATGAACATTTATTTGTAAAGTAGAAAACATCAACATAAAAAAGAAAAGTGCACGGATAACAAAAGAACAGGAAATAAAAACATGACATAGAACCAGAAAAAGAGTGTGATTAAATTGGAAGACGACAGGATTTAAATATCAGGTAAATCTATAATGTGAGAGCAAGACTGTGCAAGGCTTCAAAGTAATACGTTTGTTATTCTGAACCTGCTCTATAAGCTGTCCTTCTAAAGTTTTCATGCAACGAGATTCAGCTGATCTATAAAACTACGTCACATTTGTCTTTTTGGCAAATGTTCAGTTTTTTGTCTAACAAGCAAAAGATCCCAGGTTTATTCCCAGCAGGAGACACAGATCCCTTTGGGGCGGTGTCAGAAAGAGCATCTGGCATAAAAACTGCCAAATCCAACATGTGGAGCTGCCAGATGTTGAGTCCCCTTAAGCAATTGACAGAGGTAGACAATTCCTGTCATCAGGAATAGCGTTTAGTCTGTGATCTACCTGGTCAGTCTCCGGTCTCTTAATGAGTGTCGATGTTATCCTCAGGTTGAATAAGGTCAGCTCTAAACTGACATTACTACATCCCTCCAGGTTGATGCTCTGTCAGCGTCATTTCAAAATGAACATTTTCTTTGAATTTGGTGTGCAAATCATGAAAAAAGGCCCTAAATTAAACCTGCTTTTACTCTGCAGTAATAATATGATTTTTTAAAGAAATGCATAATCATCAGGGATGTGAAATTCCCTTGAAAAATGTTTGTGTTTGTAACATCTGTGATTTAACAATCTCTCCTCGTGTCTGTACAGCTGCAGCAGATTGTTGTAAATCATTTGTTGATTGATTGATTAACTGTAGACCTGAGATGGGGCTTCAGTTGGAGTTGACTGGTGGTGTTTTTCTAATACTGGTAACTGCCAGAAAAAAAAGAATAAATCTATTATTTATGTGCACAATTTGCTCTGGGACACAAAAAGTCCTCCTTTGTGTGAGAATTTACAAAAACAAGCTAAAATAATAAAGAATAGGGGTAATTAGTTTTTATAATTGAAAGCTTTCAGGCTGAGCCTTTTGTAAAAAGACAGCTTTTCTTTTAATTAGACAGATTGTGTGCAATTATATATAATATGCAGAGTGCTGTGAAGAAGGCTTGTGTATTCCTAAAAGTTTGTTCTCCACTTTCTTTTACACAAGATCAGAGCTGTAAGTAGAACAGCTGAGGACGGTAATCCAAAGTCTGCCACGAATTCAGAATTTAATTTAATGATGTCATAAATTTGCAGGAGAGGCGTTTATTTAAGGTTACTTTAGGAGACGGGAGGAACAAAACTCCTCGACTAATCAACGAATCGATCAGGAAACAAAAAAGAAAAATGCAAACTGCAGCTTCCCGGAGCCCAAGATAACAATCTAATAACTAAAGTTAATGAGTTTGTAGTAACAAAAAGAAACGCAACACAATTTCACCCCTGAGAAGTGATTATTGCTGCAGTTGTTTATTGGGAAAAAAAAGAACAATTAGCGAGTTTAGTTTTAACGGTTTTCAGTGTTTCCTCAGTCAGCTGCAGGAGCGGCTGCCAGCTGTCTGGAGCTGCGTTTTAGTCCGCTTGAAATCTGCAGAACTTTTAATTGGCCTCTTTAAACTTAACAAACTCAAAGTGGGAAACTCTGGACAATTACCAACAACTTCACTGAGAAGCAGATGGTCTGAGGTCACAAAATATGCCTTCCACCAAAGTGAACATTACCGAGCCTGTGTGAAACATTTTATGTCAGCGGTACTTGTTCACACGTCGTGTTCTGAAGCTCGTGTCTAATATTGTGCAGCAGCTGCTCGTGTCAGCAGTTTGGCCTCCTCGCTTTCATTAGCTCTACTGACGTTCTGCTCTCTGTAAGCAGACTTTCTTTACGTCGCGCGTGTAAACTTTTAAACTTGTAGCCCCTGTCCTGGTAATGGTCCTGGTGATGGTGTCGGACACTGGTCTGAGTAGGTGACGCTGCTTCCTGTTGCACAGATGAATTCTTTTTGCCACCAGGTTGCCTGTATGCAGTTCATCAACATTGTGGTCCACTCAGTGGAAAACATGAACTTCAGAGTCCACCTCCAGTACGAGTTCACGCAGCATGGCCTGGATGAATACCTGGAGGCAAGTGTAAACTTGTTTGCCAAATTAACAGCTTTAAACTTATCTTAGACTCAGAGTCACAGCTTTCAGTTAAACTGAGTTGATTATTTTTTACTCTGGTGTATTCTCTTTGTAGAAATTAAAGTTCACAGAGAGCGACAGGCTGCTGGTGCAGATTCAGGCCTACCTGGACAACGTGTTCGATGTTGGCGCTTTGCTGGAGGACGCTGAGACCAAGAACGCATTGCTAGAACACATGGAGGAACTGCAGGAACACAACGCGCAGGTCTGGATGTAAATGCATTAAATACAAACTAACCTTAAAGACAGTCTGTATCATAGTATTATCAGCATGATTTCCATCAGTCTGGCCAGGACAGGTTTTCAAATAAACCTGTGAGTGTGGATGAACACGCTCACAGGTGCAATGGTCACATGGACCTGCTACATGCAGTGTCGCTGTCAGAGCTGATATTTATTCACCTTTCAAAAAACACTACAGAATGACAGGAAATACATCAAGCTGAAATAAACCAGAATATTTTCCAACTTTATTGCTTTAAAGCAAAACTGTAATTGTTTCTTTTATTAAATGCAGCTAGCTTATTAGTTAATCCAAGTCTAAGTCTAATTGAGACATTTCCTCAATTTTTGTGTTTAAGAAATTAAATAATTTCACGGCTGCCACATTGTATCACACAAATGAAGCAGCAGCTGAATCTGTTGAATGATGCAGTTAACAGGAAGCTGATAGACTCATGGCTCTAAAGCTAACTTCCTTAGCCTAGCTTATTCACATTAGCTTCCTTCTCTAGTAAAATACTTTTTTTTTTTTTTTAAATTAAGCTACCGAAGAAAAAAATCATACTATGTGTTAAACTCTCCAGCAGCAACATGCGGTTGCTATTTAGATTATCTATACAGAAAAATGTTTGGGTGAAATTTCATGACTTTGTCTGGTAAATGAAAACTTTAAACATTACTGTGATATTAATCATGTAGGAATTAAAAATTACACAAGCAGTACATACATGAGAGAAAATGTAATACATTATAAGTCCACTTTAGTCTTAGTTTTCTTCTATGTTTGCTGCTCTCTGTGTAAAAATACATTTACCCATTACCCATGACCACTCTGGTGTCACAGCTCACCAGCAGACTTCAGGAGACCGAGACTGAGGCGATGGAGAAAGCCTCCGAGCTTGAGAAGAAGCTCATTCAGACCACCAAAGAAGTGGAGCTCCTGAAGGTAGAGAACAGCAAGTTCATGCTTACATGTTTTTCATACAGAAACACAGACAGTGCCAAGCAGTCAGATGGTAGCAGAAACATCAGAGCCAACATATCAAACATGAATCCACATCGTGTCACCTGACAGATAAAGGTTCCTAGAATAAGGTAAATGGGCGAATGTGGCTTAGTAACAGAAAAAAAGGCCTTAAATAGAGAGATAATAATCCATTTCATGTTTCTGTGCTTTTATCTGTGTCTTCTCTTAAACACCAGAAGAGAAATAGTTCACAAGTAATCACTTTTTAAAGAGTACAGTACATTTATGGTTTTTACTCCAAACATTAACAAAAAGAAAATATTTGAACTCCTTTGTTTTTAAATTGTGCGGAAGATAAAGTCAAATAAAAAGTGCAGTTTTGCTAAATTTAATAATAGTCTGAAATAACTGATCAGCTTTTCTAGAACTGATAACTCAGAGTTTAAAGTTAAACTCAGAGTTGCTTGAACCTGTTTTTTAGATCAGGGCTCAGTTCAAATCCATTTACTGATAAAGACTTAAAAACCACTCAGTTCTGCTTTATAGAGTTTTTATGCTGCTTGATATTTTTGTTTGTGGTTCCAACACGAGGAAGGGCAAAAGCTCAGCCAGCGATCTTCGTCTTTTTGTTTGTTTTTTGAGTTTTACAGAGAGGAAAAAATCAATCGCTCAGCTCTGCCAGTATCTCAGTAACCTGTAGCCGTTTGTTCTTTTCCATTAGGCTCAAATTTAATTTTCCCTGTCCCAAAGCTGTGACCCACTATGATAACTACAGTATAGTGAAACCTCACACCTACACCACATGTCCACCAAGAGATGTGATTTGATTTTTAAGCACCTTTCTGCATAAATTTGAATGCTAACGAGGAAAGAAATGCTTCCTGAGATGCTGAATTCTCTTTCTCACTTCAGGCTGATGAGTTCAAATTAGTAGCAGACATGTAGCATGCAGAGACAGACGTGTTGGCATTGAAGTACAGCTTTGAAAATAGAGGAACTAATTGGCTTAATTAGGGAGAGACTGATTGTTCTTGTGAACGTTAGTCAAGAAAAAGCACATAGCAGCACTCTCACCGCAGGTACCCCACCTGGTGAAGATGATCTGATTAGAGTTTAGTGTTGCAGCTGCATAAATCTGCATATTAATGAGCCAAAGTGTTGTGAGCAAGCATGTCCTTTTGCCAAGACGATCACACCAGATCACATATTTCTTTTTTTTAAGCTGACAGAACAGGTCCAGCCTGATTAAAGACACATCTGCTCTGTGTCACAGGAGAGTCTGCGGGAGTCTCGCTCGCAGGTGATTCTGCTGCAGCAGCGAGAGCAAGAACGTGAGCTCAAGCAGGAGAAAGAACAAGACACCCAGGCCCTGAAGGAGCTCGAGGTCAAAGTTCAGGCTCTGGTGGACCAGGGTCTTGTCCAAATGGGGCGCTCTTCCTCTGGACACCTAGCTGTTCAGGTGGTGCAGCAGAACAAGAAGCAGAAAGGTCGGCAATGTTTTATCACACCTTCCTAAATCCTCAGTAACCACACATACACTCACAGCGTGAACAATTCAAGTTTGAGTTTTATGAGCTGGATTCAGAAGTTCCCTTTTTTAGTGACCAGATAGCTGTGCTGCACCTGTCCAGGTAACGTCAGGGTGAACTCTGGGTTTACAGCATTACAAAGGTGATGCGCTGGTGGTACATTTTCATGGTAACTTACCTGCACATAGACAAGGCCTACCTCCAATTTCTGTTTTTGTAACTCAAGATAAGAGATCAAAAGATCTGAAACCGCCATTGAGTCCGAAAAGTGCATCGCCAGTCCGAGATGATACTTCAGACCTTGGTGTGCGGATAATTAGAAGCTCTTTGTATTTCCCTGACGGGCATCATTATGGGATATTGATTCATGTAATCAGATTTATTCCTTAATTACAGCTACATTGTAACTGCAAGTTGATGTGTAGACTATTTCCTGACAGCTGCAGATCAGGTCGATACAGGAAACAACCTTCAGGCCGTTCCTACAACAGAAGTTCCTCCACAGTCGGTACAAGCTCCTCCTCCCCCTCCTCCTCCACTTCCAGCTCCGTCCTCAACCACAGCTCCACCTCCACCTCCTCCACCACCATCAGCTCTCCTGCCTTCTGGAGGCGGTAGGACGGAGGCGTCAGCAGGGACCTCAAGTGAGTCCACAATCAGAGCAAAATGAAGGTCTTAGTAAGTCTTTAAAAACAATCAGGTTTAGCAATTTTGGTTCATATTTTATTTTCTTGTCCTTTATATCTTAAAGAAGAGATGATTTTTTTTCTTTTTATACATCAAACTTGAAAATGAAGAATGATTACAACAAGCAAAAGTTTCCAGCTTTTATCGAACTGATTGTAGAGATTTAAAAATTGCTAAACTTTATAGAAAATCAAGAATTACCACAGAGAGGAGGCATGTTGGAGAAACCAAAGTTTTACCCCATTCTTGCCTTGGTAATCATTTTCCAGCCCCACTTTAGGAACTTTTAGTAAAGATTTCAGTGTCTTTTCTTGTGAAAGTAACAAACGGCAGATTCCCCAACGCAATATTTAGGAAGATATCTCTGTTACAATACGAACATTTCTCTTACAGACTGTAAAAAGAAGAAGGCCATTCAAACCAAATACCGCATGCCGCTGTTCAACTGGCAGGCCCTCAAATCCAACCAGGTCGCAGGAACAATCTTCAGTGAGGTGGACGACGAGCGCATCTTAGAGGTTTGTTCATGTTTCCTCTGCTGTCCCAAAAACATCTGGACCTGGGTTCCTTCATGGACAGTATTTACAAGATGCACGCAGCCAACATGATCACACCTGCTGGTTTTTGTTGCTGCATTTTGGAGTCAGAGGGTATGTGCTAAGTTTTCAGCTAAGTCTAGCTAGTCTGGTTAGGAAAAGCAGCACACAGACAATTAGCTAATTAGTAAGTAACAGACTAATTATGCTCGAAAAGTCACTAAAGTGGAAGACAAAGTTCTTTGGAAAGTCATTTTGTCAGATAATTTTATTAAAGATCCAACAAAAGGCATCGCAAACACTGGGCAGATGAATTATTTAAAAAAACAAGCAAACAAACAAACAAATAAACCCTCACCTCCTGAACAGTTGATGGTGGAAACTACCCGTAGGGACCCAAACAGTGTTTTGTGCCAGGCTGTCAACACACTTTGCAACGTGTTGGACATTTTTTACATGAGAGTTATGGGGATGAGCACTGGTTTGGAGTCAGCCTCCAGTGGCCATAAGTGGAACTACAGTAGTTTTGGTATTTCTGCACTGGCTTCATTTTCAGACGTGGAGGTTGCAGGTTGGGTTTTAATCCAATTGTGGTGCAATTTAGCAGAAAACAACAACATGCAATCTATGCATTTCTTTTCTTCTATATTAGTGCAATCAATCCTATTAAGACAGTACTGTGTTTTTGTGTTACATTGGAATAGCAGTAATGTATTATCATGGGAACTTGCATTTATTCTACATCACTTAAATCCATGGATATTCTTCCATGCTTTTCTCCATTTGCAAACCTTTGTGAGTATTTTAAAAAGAACAAAAGTAAATTTACAATAATCTTTAGAACAAATTTTCCAGGAATTTTTCCAGCAGTCACATGCTTTACCAGGAAGTAGTTTAGTCTGTAGTAGGCTGCTACGTGACTTACAGTAAACAAAAGTGAAAGTTTAATCTGAGTATTAAAAAATCTTAATGGTCTCTGTTTCTGTATTTGAACCCTGTTATTAGGAGCTAAACATGGCTGCCTTTGAGGAGCAGTTTAAGACCAAAGCCCAGTCGACCCCTGTAGATCTGGGAACCCTAAAGAAGAAAATGGCCCACAAGAGTCCCAGTAAAGTGTCTCTAATGGAGCCCAACAGGGCCAAAAACCTGGCCATCACCCTGCGTAAAGAAGGAATGGCTGCTTCTGATATCTGCTGTGTCATTGAGACGTATGTGTTAAACCCTGTTTGTGCATCAGCTGAATAATACGGCAATAAAAAGAAAATCTGAATATATTGCAAAGACACTTTATATTCAGAACGTGCACCGTCCCCGCAGGTACAACCTGAAAGCTCTGAGCCTGGACTTCCTCGAGCTGTTGGAGCGTTTCATCCCCACAGAGTATGAAATGAAGCTCATCCACAACTACGAGTGCGAGGGCAGGCCCCTGGACGAGCTCAGCGAGGAGGACCGCTTCATGGTGCGCTTTAGCAAGATCCCGCGGCTTTCCCAGCGCATCAGCACTCTCACCTTCATGGGCAATTTCCCTGAGAGCGTCCAGCTGATACAGCCTGTGAGTCCACGGTTGAACTGTATTTGAGGAAAGAGAATTAAGCAAAGTTTACAACAGGGGATTTCACAGTCATGCCGAGGAAAAGGCTGTTATTCTGTTAGAGTTTATTCCTAGAAGTGGGCTGAATAAAAGCCCACTTCTGGGAATAAAAGGCATTTATTCAGGTACTGAGGTTTAACACGGGGAAATTTCTCCTTATCAGCACTCTGGCTTTATATTTACAGTGGAATCACTCTTGTCCTCTGACTCTGCGAGAATTACAAAAAAGTAGAACTAGTCCTTTAAAATAAAAATGTTAGTGTATACTGTAATGTGCACGCACTGATCTTTGCATTATTTCTTACAGCAACTGAATGCCATCATCGCGGCCTCGATGTCCATCAAGTCTTCCACTAAGCTGAAGAAAATTCTCGAGGTGATTCTTACTTTTATTTGAAGTGTCACAGAGCTCCAGTTCATGACTGAATAATAACCTTTACTGGTTAGGACTGCTTCTCTGTGACTTCCTGTGAATCCTCAGCAACGGCAAAATGGAATCAAAGTCACCGACCTCCTAATTAGCATTAAAAATTACAGTCAAATCCTGGCTTATAACATTTTTGATTTGTTTATTGTTCTTCTAATTTCATTTTAAAATACTGGTTGCTGGGGGGCTCTCAGCAAAACAACAGAAACACATTCAGCCAAGATCTCACATAAGCTGTAAATAAACGATGGACCATCCGTTTGTAATGGAGCCTCAACGTTAGCATTTTGTGGTGTTTTTTTTGTTCCCAGAGGTGGCCATATTTAGATGAAGTAACAGTGGTAAGATGTCAAGTAACACTAGTTTAGGTAGGTGCAGGCTTGGCCAACTGTAGGCCTCGAGGACACTGGGTCAACACACCTGAATCAAATGATTACCAGGCCTCTGGAGAACTTCAAGACATGTTGAGGAGGTCATTTAGCCATTTAAATCAGCTGTGTTGGATCAAGGACATCTAAAACCTGCAGGACACTGGCCCTCGAGGCCTGGGTTTGGACAGCACTGGGTTAGTGAGCTGTATCAGTGCACTGTATACATGCAATACACAAACACTGATATTAGTTAATGGTAGAAACCTGGAACACTAGAAAAACAGAGCCTTGTAATTTGTCTCACAGACTGGTACTTATACGCTGCTTTCTGCTATGAGCCTCATTCACCCGTTCACATTATTCTGTGCCAGAGTGTTTTCAGGCTTTGATGGAAATAATTTCAGGTCCAGTTCAGCAGTTCTGGGAAAGTAGCCTCCAAAGCTTGCAAGAGCACAGCTGGTGTAATATGAGACCAAACATGCTGTGTCTTTAACCCGGAGGAATTTTTTTCCTTCAACTTTGGTTGTTGTTTTTTCTCCTAAATTTAAAGTGGCATAAAAACAACGATGAGTTGTTTCTGGAAAGGGAGAGGTTTTGTGTTTTACCTCTGTGACAGATTTCAAGTTTTGTTTTTCACTGCAGGTTTATTTTTGAGTCTGTGTGGGCTGCAAATCACACATGCTGTCACTTTGTGTCACATCTGACAACATACTTTTCTGTCTGTTGCTGATGTAAAGATCATCTTGGCATTTGGAAACTACATGAACAGCAGCAAGCGAGGAGCAGCATATGGCTTCCGTCTGCAAAGCTTAGACTTGGTGAGAAAATTAATGCAGTTTTTTCCTGCAGCTACAGATGGCTTTTTGCTTTGGTTGCTATTTCTGTAGATAATTCAAAAGTATTTAGTGCAACCTGTTGTTTTTATCGATCTAATGTCAGACTTTTCATTCTTTGCTGGCTCTCCCAAGCTGTTGGACACCAAATCTACAGACCGAAAACAGACACTGATGCACTTCATCGTCAACATCATCCAGGAGAGATACCCAGAGCTGCAATCCTTCCCCACAGAGCTGCACTTCCTGGATAAGGCAGCACTTGGTAAGCACATCCTCACATGTGTACGGTGATTAATGATGGCTGAACTCCTGTCACAGTTTACAAAGGTCCAAGATCCAAGCAGACCCACTACTTCCCTCCCAAATTAAGTAATTATAGATTAAACTCTAAACTATGAAACAAAGCTGCAAATAAATAAAGAAATAAAGCACAGCACAGTATGATTCCTGACAGTAGCTCAAGAGTTGCTGCTATAAAAGAAAAAGGGGGCAATCAAAAAGAAAAACTAGCATTTGATCTGATCAACATTTGGCCTAAAATCTTGTTTTTATTAACTGTATTTGTGGTTTGTAGCCCTGTAGTAATCGGATGTTTTGACCTGTTTTGCCTTTTTAACTTCTGACTTCCTGACCCCCTTTTTTTAATCGTGTGTCCAAGATGCTGTGAGTGTAGGCCTGAGGTCATTTTTTTAAAATGGTTTTAAAAAAAAGGTTTAAAAAAATATCTCCATGAACATGAAAATCCCCCCAAAAAGATCTCAAAGTCTGTCAAGTGCATGCCAAAGAAACAGGTGGTGATATAACCCTAAGTGTGAAGAAATGCTGGCAAATAAAAAGACAGAGTGTAGTCAAAAGGGAGGTGAAGGCACATAACTTTGATCTTACGAGACAAAATCGCTGTTTCTCTTTTCCACGTTTAAATGCAGCAGAGTTTCTGTAAATGAAAAGCTTTATTTTTAGTGACCCTCAGGACAAAAGGACAAAATTCACAGAAAAATCTGTGTTTACCAAAATATCCGTGTACATGTGGATGTAGCCTGAATCTCCCTTGTAAACTACACTTGATTAAGGCAACCTGCTAGAAACCAAAGCAGTCATGGGGCGTTTTCAGTGTAGCACCATGTTTTCACCTTGTAACTGACATGAAACTACTGCAACCACTCACCAACAATTGGAGAACACCTAGAAGTTTCTATGGAGATGCTGACTGGTATGTCTGAGATGACCAAGAGGATAAAACCTACACAAAGCCAGAGTCATTGGCTATACTTTCGAAACTTTTATTATTACTGTTAAATGTGGTCAAACTTTAATCACATACATTTTAGTTTAAACTAATACCACAGATTGTAAATACACTGATGATAAAATGACAAATGCTCACAAGGTGTTATGACAGCAGTAGAATCACTTTATTCATGCAACACCTTGCATAACCCTTCAGTCTTCTAAAGTACATCATAATCTAGTTGATGTTTGATAAGCAATGATAAGAATGTTAATTTGAAGCTCTAACTTCACCTTGAAGTCTTTGTCTCTTTTAGTTTCTGTGGACAGTATCCTGCAGGACCTTCAGGCTCTGGAGAGAGGCATGGAGGGGACGAAGAGGGAGTTCTCCATAGAAAAAGACAATCTAGTGCTGCAGCGTTTTCTCAGCACCAACGTGGAGCTGCTCAACGGTCTCATAGCCGATGGAAAGACCGCACAGGTCGGATTTAATTATCAAAATCAGAATACTTTATTATTCCATGAGGAAATTATCCAAATTTGTCTCTGTCAATGTTAGGAACAGGAAGTACTTGTCAGTTCATGGCTGATCATGACCTTCTTTTGCAGGATGCTTATGACTCAGCTGTGGAGTACTTCGGAGAAAACCCCAAAACAACGCCGCCCTCTATGTTCTTCCCTATTTTTGTCAGATTCATCAAAGCGTACAAGGTCAGATAACAGACAGCTGCTTCACTGATATGCACCAAGAGCTTTTACATTACACCTGCAGCCATCAGTGACTGTTTATAATCTGACCTCTGAAACATTGTTTTTGTGTTTGCCAGCAAGCAGAGCTGGACATCGAGCAGAGAAACAAGCAACACGAGGCTCCTTTAACTCCTCCTAAACCTGAAGTCATGGGGAACAAGGTGGGAACGATAAACAGTCAGTGCAGGAAAAGTACTTTCAAGTGTGTCTACAAACTTTCCAAGCACATAAAGATGATTTTCTCCTGAATAATTAGACTGTGTCATTTTGCAACAACACTTTAAAAGCTGACAGTAGACCTCAGACTTTATCTGTCGGCCCTTTCTTTTTTGATTTTTTTTAAAGTGATATTCAGCAAGGGAAACACCACCCTTCAAAAAGTACTTCTTCTCAGTGAAGGACAGAGAGAAATACTCTTTTCTGAAAGCCCTTTTCCTCTGGTAGAGACATTAATGATCTCAGTTTAGAGGAAAACTGCTTTGCTTTTAGAGAAATGTGTACAAAGACCCAAGACATTAAAAGTCAAAGTATCAACAAAAACTAGCGTGATGCTCCAGTCAGCCATGTCAAGTACAAAGACAGATAAACTACCATAAAATATAATAATATAAGGTATTGGATCTGGAACAAGCCTGGAGCTGGACTGCCCTGTTCGATGTCCAAACAGCTCTCTTCAGTTCCCAGTCATATATGAACTGTTATTAACGAAAGTGGTAAACATGGTCCGTGCTGCCATCAAATTCAAAATAAGACTATATTTTTCTTTCTTAAAATGGTCAATTCTTTTTGTTTTAGTTAGTTTTAATTTTCAAATTGAAACATTTGATCAGTTCTCTGCCTTGCTGACCGCCTGTACTTCTTCACCTATCAGACTTCCACACTTTAAGGACATTCCTTGAGATTATAACTTTCATGCATAAAAACGACCAGACTATTGGACATAAAAAGAACTAAAACTCTCAAAGCATGTTGTAAAAAGTTGCATTCAACTAAATCTGATTTGTTGTTTCAGGGTCCCACGATGCCCAGACCGCCCCAGATGGACCTGATAGCAGAGCTGAAGAAGAGGCAGATGTCTCCTCTGGTGAGGGAGGGGAAAGACGGAGCCATCGAGGACATTATCACAGGTACACAACAAACTGTCTGTTTTTTGTATATGTGTTGTGAACCGTTATCAGCAATTATCAGGAGGGGTTAATTACACAGTTAAAGAAAGAGCTCACGCTGCCAAGGCAACAGAAAGATGCAGCTATGCAGTTACAGGTTCGTGTGGTGCTAAAGCTACACTGTGACAGCTACGTAATTAAAGTTCAAACATTGTATCAAGTGAAGTTTAGCTGCTAACATAGCAACACTTACACACTAATGCTTGCTAATTAACTAGCTAACAACTAAACTGATCACTTTTTCATAGATTAGAACTAGATTTTTTAATTTGTTTTGTTTTTTGTTTGTTTTGTCTACAAACTTTAAAGGCAGCAGCTAAATCAACATAAGCCACAAACTGTTTCTCTGCACTTGTTTATGTTGTGTTCCAGCAACCACTCCCCAACCGATTGGGGAGTACAGATTTTTCCCAACAGCAAGAACTCGTCACTGAGCGCTGACTAAGCTAAGCTAACTATCTCCTGATTTCCAGCTCTAGTTTTGATGGACGCTCTAGTCCATTCATTTTTATTTTTCTGTACCTTCTGCTGTCTCACACTTTTTTCACACTAATCGTCCTCAGTGTTTTTACTTTCTTATCTAAGCAGCTGTTAATCTCATTAACATTTTATCCTATTTCCTCTCCAGCAGTGCTCTTTTTAAAAATTTCTTTAGTTCAAACTTTCACTAAGGCTTACGTCCCTCTCCTGTGCCCTTGTTTGTCCCTCCTCTCTTCCTGTCCCTGTTGTTTTTTTTTTCTCTTCTGTCTTCAGCTCTTAAATCCGTGCCCTTCACGGCTCGCTCTGCCAAACGCTCCTCTCGTCTCTTCTGCGACTCTGTCTTCAGTGAAGAGGTGATGTTTTCAAATCCGCTCCTGCTGATCATGACACTGTCATTGTATTTATAACCAGGAAGAGATGGTGGATACAGAGTGTAGAGGGCACTTATAATCCTTTGAGCCCAGCTTCTATTTCTGCTCCAGTCGTGGACATGAGACAAACTCAACAGTGAATAACAACAATAAACACAAAAATATTACAAACACATTATATAGCACTAAAACTGCATAGAAATTGTCCTGCTCTGCCTTCCCAATGTAACTGTATCCCAGACAGTCTGCCCTTGAAGGAATATTTTGGGTGCTGTTTATTGGATTTATGCCTCGTGACTGAGTTCTCTCCAGAGGTTTTCTGACACACTTTAAATGGCTTTCAAAGAGAAGGAGAGCAGCTCAAACTAAAACACAAGAATATGCTTGTCTTGGATTTGAAGGTTAAAGGAGATCTATTATGTTTTCCTTGTTTCCAGTCAGTACTGTTAGAGTGCTTGGATAATAAAGATATATTCAATATATTAAAGGGCACTAAAGTAAAGGACATTTAGCACTGTTGCCTCATTTGTTAATGGGTCCTGGTTTCAGAGCCACACAACGTCCAGCTGTGTGGAGTTTGTTGAGTTGTAGTTAATCCTGCTGATGCAGGCCCGCAGCACAAAAGACTTTATCTCAAGAATTTCACAGGCTTGTTAAATAACATCATTTAATGTCTTAGAGGCTGAATTTAAATTGCACAAACAACGGTAATGGAGATATACGCTAATTCTTAGACTGATAACAGTGATTTTTAAACTAATTTACTCACCCAAAAACTGTCAAAGCTCTTCCCTTTTTAGTTCAATCTGTGGTGCAGGACGTACGACATCTCTGTACTACGCTATGCTGTCCAAAAGTATACTTCTATCAGTCGTTTAAAAAGTGTTGGAAGGTTCATGTTGGTCAGTGTATGTATCAGTCATCACAAGCACAGCCTGCTCTGAACACTTAAATCACAATTACAGTTTTTTCTATGCAGTACCCACAAAAACATTCTGTGTAGCCAATCAGAAAAGAGAAAGCTTAAATGATGGAGGGGCTGCAGTATATCTTTAGATGAGCTGATCACAGTACATTCATATAATTCTCTACAATGATTATTTTGAGCTGTGAATGCTGTAAAGTTACTCCTGTAACGTCCAAGAACAAAAACACGAAGTTGGAAATCAGCGTAATAGATTCCTTTTAAGATTGATCGTACACCACGTCACACCTGTGAAGAGACGAAAGTGAGAAAGACACAAAGGTTTAAAAGGTGTTTGTTTTTTTTTGTTTTTTTTAAAGCAGCAAAACACAACAAAGATTACCACAAAGCAGCCTCACACACCCACAAAGATGTGCAAAATACCACAAAGACATGAAAATCAACTGAGAGACAAAAAGTGAAATGCAAAAGAACACGCTGGTGCCTTCTGTGGGTCTTTTAAAAGCTTATGCTGAGGGGCTCATTGTCCCACACTCTATCCATGTCTGACACAGATTCTAATTAAGATTTTATAAGAGCCAGGATGGCTTGGCAGTGACTCTTTTATACCAGACGTCTTCGCATTTTCCTGTTTGTTTGTTTTTGTGTTGTTGTTTTTTTATGGCCAATTTGATGAGTAGAAATATGTATTTTATGGCTCAGTAAATAAAGCCCAACAGGCCCTTAGTTTGCCTTTGACATATGTCAGCGGGCTGTTCTGAAGCTTCTTGTCTCACGTGGATTATTCGTGTTTGTTCTCTTTCGTCAGATCTGAGAAATCAGCCGTACAGACGGGGGGACGTCGGCCGACGCAGCGCCAAGTGGAAACCAGGGCAACAGCTGCAGGTATCCTCAGACATCTCCCTCTGAAACACAACAACGTGGACTGGGTTCATCATCGTGGCTTTACAAGCACAACGTATTTGACTCACTATGGTGACAGTCTTATCACTCTCAAGCATGTGGACGAATGCAGGGGTGGAAATGCATGCAAGAAGATCCCTAAAGAGACAAAAACATAAGCTAATGCACACACACACACACACACACACACACACACACACACACACACACGCACATTTCTGCTGCATTAGGGCGCCTCTCTGGATAAACTTCAAACTGACTGTAGAAATGTTCTGTGATTTGAGTGATTAAATGTTAAAGAGGGCGAATTATTAGCTGTACTCAGCGCTAATGACACTGGATGCCATCCGAGGTAATCAAGACAATTACATGGAAGAACGAGCCACTTAGCTGAGAGGTAACACGAGCGCTTCATTACTGCCGCTAAGACATCAGAGCCTCACCAGAAAATTCATCTTCAAAGGCAAAAAGCTGATAGACTCGTGGATCATTTTGATATTTTTTTATTAGTTTCAGTTTAAACAGAATTTTAATCGCAGCGTCCCATCACTCTTTCCGTGTCTGCAGTAGGTCTCAAAAATTATGGGAAAGATTTATAATATATTTAATTTATTTTTATTACTGTGTAAGTACAAAAACAGCAAGCTTCTACTTTGCTTCTGCATTTCAACAAATAAAACATTTTATACTGTTCTGGGGTTTTTGTCTGTTTTATTTGTGTCTATCCTAAAACTCAAACTTTTGTATGCTTACATTTCATACATTCAATACATTTCATTACAGTAGATGTCTTTCTAAAAGTGCTCCAAGTTTAAGGATATATTTCTTCATCTTCAACGCCATGAGCTTGTACAGTACAGCACAACTACCTCGACTCTACTCCCTCAGAGGTTGACAATAAATGGACACGCATGCTGGAGTTGCAAGTTGTCCTAAGCTGCTGTACCAGCAGAGGGAGATATTTTATTTCAAGCAAACGTGAAAATCATCATGTTTAAAAATGTTTAGTCATTACTAACACTGGGGTAGAAGGAGCCTGAATTAGAGACTTCATACCTTCCTTGATCACTAACGAGTTCTTAACTTTAAATATATATAATATAAAAATATATCAATGTGTGTCCATTTCACCCAATGGAGAGGCAAAGTGTAACATCCCATCAAGTTACACACTTTGTTGTGATTGGGTTGACAAGTGTCATCTCTTCAATTGGTTTGACCCTGGATACTGTGGCTGCTGTGCTGTGCCTGGTATAACTCACAAAAACACACCTTAAAACACATGATTCATAGGTTGGTGAGGAAATAGCATCTTACTAATTTTGAAGGGCTTCATTAAGCCTTTAAAGAGCTTCAAAGTGCCTGTTGCTCTACATTATAGGACTCTGTAAAGCTGGGTTATCTTAATATTCATCAGGTTTCTTTTCAGCACAACCAATGATTAAAATAAAATGGTTAGAGAAAAAGGTTATTCACATCTGTCTCAGATGTTGCTGTATGTTATATATTATTATGTACAGCAACTCCTTAAGTTAACTTCAACAGGTCCTTCCTCTAAACCATCTGTTTATTAGACCACAGAGTGCTTAAGGAAATCCTTCCATTAGTTATTGCTTTGATCTAAAATACAACCAAACTTTTGCTATTAATGGCAAGGTGGCAGTAATTAAACCATTACTTAAAAAGCCATCCCCTCACCCAGCTGTGTTAAGTAATTATAGGCCAGTCTCCAACCTTCCTTTTATTTTAAAAAATACTGACACTCTTCTTCAACTACTGTACAAGCACTTAGTCCACCCCTACCTAATAACTCAGTGTACACATATACTGGTGACTACTTCCAGCAGGATAACATGAGTTATCACAAAGCTCACTTCATCTAAAACTGGTTTCATGACTATGAGTTCATTGTGCTTAAAGGCATTTACAATCGTCAGATCTCAATCTACTACGGCATTTTTGGAATGTGCTGGATGAGCAACCTGCAAATTTCCAATATTTGTTTATAGCTTGAAGCTGAATAACTCAAGAATGTTTCTGGGGAATTTTTGGATCAGTGCCATGAGAAATAAAGTTAGTTTTGTAGGGATAAAAACGACAATAGAAAACTGAAACATTACAACACAAATAAATCACAAAAACACAATAAACTCAAAATGCTGGGTCAACTGATCCAGAACCATGGCAACTGTACAATGAACTAATTCTTTCAGAAGTGCTGTGATGGTTATTTTGTGTCCATGTGAGATGTGGTTCCCAGCCTGTGTTGATGAATCTAAGAAATCTGAGGTTGTGCACATTTCACAGTTGCTGCTTCAACTTGGTACTGCTCCTTGCGTCTGTTCGTTTTGTAGCCAAAGATAACTGTTGTTGTGAAATTGATGAGCTGGTCGGTTTCAGTGATCATAAGGATTTTCTGTGATGCTGCATTTACATCTTCACTTCTACCTAGTGCCCGTGAGCACCGCCAGCAGCCATCTGTGCCAGAGTGACCGACCCCCAGGCCGAGAGGTCGAGGGCACCCCACCCCCGAAGGGGCCCAAGCGAGCCCCAGGTTCCAGGTCCCGACAAGCACCCACCAGGAGTGAGCCGGTGCGTACCTGGATGCCCATCCCCGCATAGCTTCAGTTCTATATCTCTCACTCATAGGTAGGCTTTAGGCAGGGGCCTAGCCTGGAGACCTCTACTTACAAACCTTTACTGGTTACATGCTCTGGTCAGAAGCCTATTATTCAGAAAACCCTTAGTGTGACAAATAGGTATTTACTAGCTGGGCCCACATCCTCATTTTAGGTTTGACAGCATTTTAGTAAGTAAAGGTGAATGCTTTGACATTAATTGAGCTGCGGTTCGGTGAAGGCCTCGAAGGGGACTGGCGATGGCTCCTGGGCCTGGCAGATCCCCATGCACTGAATAGAAATGAAGAAGTTAAAGAATTGAGATCATGGAGGGTGGTGATTCTAAAGTGGTTAAAGTTTATAGGGAAAGAATTGGTTAATGTGGCTATAAAAATGTTTCAGTGGCACTATGGTCACAGTGGCTCAGTTTATAAAGCTGAAGTGGAAACAGGATTGAGGAAATTTACAACCATTACAGTCAAATCCTAGACAGAAAAATAAAATCAATGCAGCTCCCCAGTGACATTTTTAATCCAGTTGAAACACAGCTTCATACACTTCAACAAACTTAACAAATCCTTACATGTTCTAAAAACAAACAGGTTTACCCATGTATTATAGATCCTGTTTGACTGCTGCTATAATGTAAAAACAAAAAACTTCTCTTTCAACACGACTGTCAGGAGATTAAGATTTGGCTGCGGGGCGCTGCGAAATCTTAACATCTTTGTTTATAACAAAATAAAACCGCAAATGTATTTTCTTACTTTAACTGAAACCTTTCATTGAACTACCAAATAAACACATTGGTGCTCTCCATGTGGCCAGACACGTGGCAGCACTGCTGCTAACATTTCGTTCGTAACAGAATAAAAAAGCAGACGTAAGTGTACACATTCGTTTTTGACTCTCGCTGAACTAACACAGCCAATCCCTCCACAGGTTTGTACTCTCTGCTCCTGTTGCCTTCATATTATTGTTATTATTATTATTTATTTATTTTTTTTGCTTTTTAAATAAGTTATTTTAACATTACACACACACACACACACACACACACACACACACACGCACATTTCTGCTGCATTAGGGCGCCTCTCTGGATAAACTTCAAACTGACTGTAGAAATGTTCTGTGATTTGAGTGATTAAATGTTAAAGAGGGCGAATTATTAGCTGTACTCAGCGCTAATGACACTGGATGCCATCCGAGGTAATCAAGACAATTACATGGAAGAACGAGCCACTTAGCTGAGAGGTAACACGAGCGCTTCATTACTGCCGCTAAGACATCAGAGCCTCACCAGAAAATTCATCTTCAAAGGCAAAAAGCTGATAGACTCGTGGATCATTTTGATATTTTTTTATTAGTTTCAGTTTAAACAGAATTTTAATCGCAGCGTCCCATCACTCTTTCCGTGTCTGCAGTAGGTCTCAAAAATTATGGGAAAGATTTATAATATATTTAATTTATTTTTATTACTGTGTAAGTACAAAAACAGCAAGCTTCTACTTTGCTTCTGCATTTCAACAAATAAAACATTTTATACTGTTCTGGGGTTTTTGTCTGTTTTATTTGTGTCTATCCTAAAACTCAAACTTTTGTATGCTTACATTTCATACATTCAATACATTTCATTACAGTAGATGTCTTTCTAAAAGTGCTCCAAGTTTAAGGATATATTTCTTCATCTTCAACGCCATGAGCTTGTACAGTACAGCACAACTACCTCGACTCTACTCCCTCAGAGGTTGACAATAAATGGACACGCATGCTGGAGTTGCAAGTTGTCCTAAGCTGCTGTACCAGCAGAGGGAGATATTTTATTTCAAGCAAACGTGAAAATCATCATGTTTAAAAATGTTTAGTCATTACTAACACTGGGGTAGAAGGAGCCTGAATTAGAGACTTCATACCTTCCTTGATCACTAACGAGTTCTTAACTTTAAATATATATAATATAAAAATATATCAATGTGTGTCCATTTCACCCAATGGAGAGGCAAAGTGTAACATCCCATCAAGTTACACACTTTGTTGTGATTGGGTTGACAAGTGTCATCTCTTCAATTGGTTTGACCCTGGATACTGTGGCTGCTGTGCTGTGCCTGGTATAACTCACAAAAACACACCTTAAAACACATGATTCATAGGTTGGTGAGGAAATAGCATCTTACTAATTTTGAAGGGCTTCATTAAGCCTTTAAAGAGCTTCAAAGTGCCTGTTGCTCTACATTATAGGACTCTGTAAAGCTGGGTTATCTTAATATTCATCAGGTTTCTTTTCAGCACAACCAATGATTAAAATAAAATGGTTAGAGAAAAAGGTTATTCACATCTGTCTCAGATGTTGCTGTATGTTATATATTATTATGTACAGCAACTCCTTAAGTTAACTTCAACAGGTCCTTCCTCTAAACCATCTGTTTATTAGACCACAGAGTGCTTAAGGAAATCCTTCCATTAGTTATTGCTTTGATCTAAAATACAACCAAACTTTTGCTATTAATGGCAAGGTGGCAGTAATTAAACCATTACTTAAAAAGCCATCCCCTCACCCAGCTGTGTTAAGTAATTATAGGCCAGTCTCCAACCTTCCTTTTATTTTAAAAAATACTGACACTCTTCTTCAACTACTGTACAAGCACTTAGTCCACCCCTACCTAATAACTCAGTGTACACATATACTGGTGACTACTTCCAGCAGGATAACATGAGTTATCACAAAGCTCACTTCATCTAAAACTGGTTTCATGACTATGAGTTCATTGTGCTTAAAGGCATTTACAATCGTCAGATCTCAATCTACTACGGCATTTTTGGAATGTGCTGGATGAGCAACCTGCAAATTTCCAATATTTGTTTATAGCTTGAAGCTGAATAACTCAAGAATGTTTCTGGGGAATTTTTGGATCAGTGCCATGAGAAATAAAGTTAGTTTTGTAGGGATAAAAACGACAATAGAAAACTGAAACATTACAACACAAATAAATCACAAAAACACAATAAACTCAAAATGCTGGGTCAACTGATCCAGAACCATGGCAACTGTACAATGAACTAATTCTTTCAGAAGTGCTGTGATGGTTATTTTGTGTCCATGTGAGATGTGGTTCCCAGCCTGTGTTGATGAATCTAAGAAATCTGAGGTTGTGCACATTTCACAGTTGCTGCTTCAACTTGGTACTGCTCCTTGCGTCTGTTCGTTTTGTAGCCAAAGATAACTGTTGTTGTGAAATTGATGAGCTGGTCGGTTTCAGTGATCATAAGGATTTTCTGTGATGCTGCATTTACATCTTCACTTCTACCTAGTGCCCGTGAGCACCGCCAGCAGCCATCTGTGCCAGAGTGACCGACCCCCAGGCCGAGAGGTCGAGGGCACCCCACCCCCGAAGGGGCCCAAGCGAGCCCCAGGTTCCAGGTCCCGACAAGCACCCACCAGGAGTGAGCCGGTGCGTACCTGGATGCCCATCCCCGCATAGCTTCAGTTCTATATCTCTCACTCATAGGTAGGCTTTAGGCAGGGGCCTAGCCTGGAGACCTCTACTTACAAACCTTTACTGGTTACATGCTCTGGTCAGAAGCCTATTATTCAGAAAACCCTTAGTGTGACAAATAGGTATTTACTAGCTGGGCCCACATCCTCATTTTAGGTTTGACAGCATTTTAGTAAGTAAAGGTGAATGCTTTGACATTAATTGAGCTGCGGTTCGGTGAAGGCCTCGAAGGGGACTGGCGATGGCTCCTGGGCCTGGCAGATCCCCATGCACTGAATAGAAATGAAGAAGTTAAAGAATTGAGATCATGGAGGGTGGTGATTCTAAAGTGGTTAAAGTTTATAGGGAAAGAATTGGTTAATGTGGCTATAAAAATGTTTCAGTGGCACTATGGTCACAGTGGCTCAGTTTATAAAGCTGAAGTGGAAACAGGATTGAGGAAATTTACAACCATTACAGTCAAATCCTAGACAGAAAAATAAAATCAATGCAGCTCCCCAGTGACATTTTTAATCCAGTTGAAACACAGCTTCATACACTTCAACAAACTTAACAAATCCTTACATGTTCTAAAAACAAACAGGTTTACCCATGTATTATAGATCCTGTTTGACTGCTGCTATAATGTAAAAACAAAAAACTTCTCTTTCAACACGACTGTCAGGAGATTAAGATTTGGCTGCGGGGCGCTGCGAAATCTTAACATCTTTGTTTATAACAAAATAAAACCGCAAATGTATTTTCTTACTTTAACTGAAACCTTTCATTGAACTACCAAATAAACACATTGGTGCTCTCCATGTGGCCAGACACGTGGCAGCACTGCTGCTAACATTTCGTTCGTAACAGAATAAAAAAGCAGACGTAAGTGTACACATTCGTTTTTGACTCTCGCTGAACTAACACAGCCAATCCCTCCACAGGTTTGTACTCTCTGCTCCTGTTGCCTTCATATTATTGTTATTATTATTATTTATTTATTTTTTTTGCTTTTTAAATAAGTTATTTTAACATTACACTCAACAACACAAGTAGGGTGATGTGGGCCGCGGGTTTGAGACTCCAAGCTTAGAGGCTTTAGAACAGCTTTGGTCCCCAAAACCTTCATTTTACTTCATCTATTTTATTATATATATATATAAATCTTTTTTATTTAATTGTATGTTAAATATTCACTTTACTGTATAACTGCTTTAGATCCAGATAATTTATTTTTGTAATTATTTTTAATTTCTTTTAACGTTGTCATTCTGTCATTCCACTTTAAGCTTTTTGTTAGAGGTTTTTTTTTATGTTTTTGCCAGTGTAACGTGCAGATTCTGAATTTAGAATTTAGTATAACAGTATTTTGTATAAAGATGAGACAACCAACATATATTAACACAGCTGATTCTGTATGAAGAGCGTATAAGAACTACAAAATGAGCAGTTAACAACAGAAACTAAACAAATAACAAATGAACAGCTACGTAAAACAGATGAAACCATCAGGACAACAGAACAGCTCCTGTTTCACCGACAGCAATAGTGTTTCTACAGTGAAACCAGAAGTTTCTCCACTTCCACTCTCATCATCTGCAGCTCCACAGGGATTATCTTGCATTGGCTCGATGCTTCTTTAACACAGCGGAGAAACTCTGACTCGTCCGCCTCCATCTGACTGTGGTTCATCGTTTTCTCCATTGCGTTCACTGCAGCCAGAGTCTTTGCAGTCTGATTAGCGACGCCTTTCACAGCATCACAGGAGGCCATTTGGTCACAAATCTCTTGCACCGTTTTTAGCTCGTCCACCAGCGGTTCGATGCTTTTAATGAAATCTGCTCCAGTTTTCTGCATGGTGACTACTTCTTTCTTTAGCTTTCCATTTCCTTTTCGAACTTTTGTTTTAGAAGGAAAATCGATGGCTTTTCTGACCAGATAAACTGCAGCTTTTGTAGCATGCAAAGCACCAAAACCACCACCAACAGCACCACCTGCTGCACCAACTGACCCGCCAAATGTGCTACCAGTTGCACCACCAGTGGCGAAGCCAACAGTAAACCATAATGAATCACTCACGATCCCATGAGCTTCTATACCCGCTGCTAGAGCTGCAACACCAACTGATCCACCAATAAACCCCGAAAATGCTCCTCCCACCACTCCCCCAAAGACACCGCCTACAAAGCCCACAGTTGCACTTGCTGCACTAACGTTGCCACAAAACTTGGCATAAGTTGCTGCACTAACTGCTCCCAAAGCAGCCCATACACCACCAGTAACACCCCCAAAGACTATACCAATAGCCCCTCCAAACACACCTAACAGAGCCTGGGCCATCTTGTCATCCTCATGCTTTTTATCAACTAGAGCTGCTGCATGCATGAAATGCTCAGAAGCTTGCTGAAGATCATCTTTGCGTTGGCCATAGAGCCTCACAAAAGTCTCCAGACTTGTTCTGAGATTTTTACTGATGTCAGCCGAAGTGTTGAATCTCAATGTGCTCCACATATTTACGTTTCTGCTGCCGCCCCCCAAAAAACACCTGAAGAAACCTTGGTGAGCAGAGTCGAGAGTTCAGGTCTTTAGAAGTTGTAGAAGATGCGTGAATCGAGGCTTGTCTTTGAAAAGGCCGAGGTTAATATTTTTTTCTTCCTGCAAGTCAGAAACAAAAAGGATCTGAAACTTATGAGATAAACTATCATCATCTAAAAAGTTCTGTGCAGAAAAAATGCTTCAACTTGATCTTTTGGGGAATCTAAACTTTTTGGCCTAGACTGGGGAACTCGTCATAGGGGATTTTGAATTCTGATGCCACTGTTAGGTGTTTGCCACAGCTGAGCACTGCCAAGATTCTCTAAAGAATTTCTAAATATTGTTAGCAAACGTAGATTTAAATTAAAAGAAGAAAACTGTACACGTCATTGTTCAGCACCGTCTAAAACCAAATCTATAAGCAATTTTTAAACATAAACACCCAGCAGATGTGGCTGAAACGCTGATGTCATAACACTGGTAATTGATAGTAGAAAAAAAATGAAGACAAACTTTTTCTTGGTAGAAAGTCCATGTTTAGGCAGGTGTGAAGAAATGCTGTAAACAAAGAAAGCTTTCAGAAATATAAATGATTGTTTATTGGCCCCAAATGTATTCTGCAGCAGGACAACGACCCCAAACACACACAGCCAAAGTCATTAAGAACTATCGTCAGTGTAAAGAAGAACAAGGAGTACTGGAAGTGATGGTTTGGCCCCCACAGACAACATCTCAACATCATCGAGTTTGTTTTACATTTCTCTTTTATCCATTCACTGCATTTTGTTCATCGATGAAAATACATGATTAACACTTCCATTTTTGAAAGCACCCTTTGTTTACAGCATGTTTTTCTCACCTGCCTGAAACTTTTGCACAGTCCTTCGTATATGGACTGCTTTGCATGCTGTGCCTTCTAATAGGGCATAGCATAAGGGAAGCACGAATATTATAAATACAACTGGTCCCGACACAGAACCCTGTGGAACCCCATAACTAACACTAGTGTGTGAGTAGAACTCCCCATTTATATAAACAAACTGGAACCTAACTTTTTATATATTTATTTTAATATAAAAATTAATATATCTAATATACATTAACAATAATATTGAAGACATTATGATTATTCATCTATGAATAGTACAGATGTTCAGAGTAAAATACTTCCCACTGAATGAGACTTGATCTGTGCTGCACATCCGTAGATCTCTCTTTGTTTGCTAGTTTAACTCTAGCTGTTATTTCAGCTCTGCACAGGTAGATGGACTGGTTTATCAGTGGCTTCACTTTGATACTGAAACAATCTTAAACAGCTGAAGAATTCAAGAATTCATGCTTTAAAGCACTTTCAGCAGTATGTGCAACTACACATGCTCGCTGCACGATGTGCAGCATTTTTGTTTAAGTTTCCTTCTTTTGGCCAACGCTGTTAACTTCTGTTCACAAACTTCCTTTCCAGATCGTTGTTATAATTTTTTTCTTCTTCTTTTTAATCAATCTAAAAAGGTATGACACTGTACCACAGACTAATGGGACAGGAGTGCAGAGGCTGTCCCTAGGATCCACAGTTCCTAAACATTACACTAATCTCACAAAGCAACCAATAACTGTGGACTCTGCAAACTATATGGTTTAAAACGGGTTTCCTTTGACCGACGCTCTCCAAAATGTCAAAATTAAGGTTGAATCATGCAAGCAGCTCTGAGAGCAGAGGTACCTGTAAAATTATGAATCTTCACATAGCAGGCACTTTTACTTATGTGACGGCTTTTTTTGTGTTAGTGTATGCAAGGAATTAAGTTATGCAAGTGGCAATAAATCTTCAGAATATGTTTTTTCTCAGCTTGGCTTTTGACATATATAATTGCACACAAAGCTGCTATTGGATCACTGATCAAGTTAACTTGATAGTTTTGTGTTAAATTGAGTCAACGAGCTGAAGTGACACATTTTTGTGTGGAAAATAAGAGTACAAAGCATGAACTTGTTATGAATGAGGGATTAAATTTGACGTGCTGCTGACAAGGAAGCCGGAGTTTCAATTCAGTGCTTCTGTAAGTTCATCTGTACTCACTGTCTGTCGGCTGCCCCACTTATTTCAATGAAGCTCTGACTGCTGTCGGCTCAGCGATGCCTAGAAATGCGTCGTTCATATGGAATCAGATAAAGTAACGTATGCAGAGCGTGAAGTTTGTTCAGATGAGGAAGCAGGAAATGGAAGAGTGAAAGCAGGGCCGGGCTGTTACTAAAACAGTCCCAGATGCCTCTAGGGGGAAAAAATGGGGCGTGTTTCAGCATGCAAAAGTAAAAAGGGGAGAACAGTTGATTGTAAGTGACGTTTAAGCATTAAAAAAAAATAAAAGTGTAAAAGAATATAATGTTAATAAAGAGGTTTATAAGGTGTGTTTTTCAGGAACTGAGTGTCTAAAATCAGTCCAGTCGAGCCGAAGGGGTCCGCCTGACAGCAGAGGATGAAGGTCAAGCTGAAGTCTGCTTTGCATAATAATTCACTTTCTGCTCTTTGTGGAGCTGATTGAGTCGCGGATCATCTTAAGCCTCCAGCTCATGTCCCTGAAGGTAAACAAAGAGCTCTTTAACACTGATTAGTGTCCACTGACACTCTGATCCCAGCTTCAGTTCATTAAAAAGGCAAAACTAGTGCGCAGACACATTTTATAAATGAATACAGGTCTCTAGCTAATTCACTGATCTCCTGCAGAAATGGAAACGCACAAGACCCAGAATTTAAGGATCAACTGAGTAAAAGCATCTACATACAAAAGGATGAATAAATGCATTCAATGTAAATGTTACCAGATGCTACCAAGGTTAGACTTGATGAGCAGGTGAATGCTTGAGCTTTACAATGATTTTCAAAAATAAGAGTCAGAAATAGTTGTTTTATTTATTGATTTTTTATCTCAGTCCATGTGCATTTTTTCACCTCAGGTTTTTGAACTTTTCCACAATTTTCCAAAATTATTTTAAAAAGCGTGTTAGATGGAGGAGTTGTACAGAGAGATGGCAACAGGCAGGAATGATTTCCTGTGTCGTTCATTATGTTCTATCATATATGTATATTGTCACACTGGAGGATGTTTGTATTATAAAGGTTCATTTTTTGTCCACTCTGTGTACAATGTGAATGAGAAGAAATATCCCTCACAGTCACCGCTGCCACTGAAGCCCCGCCCACCAGCAAAACAATGTTTATTTTGGAGGATCAGCAAATCAGAAGGAAGTCGGCTTATAGGGGGAGGAGAGATAACCAAGTAATGGTTTTTTTTCCCCTTTTGACAACTGGGCTGCAGCAAATAGAGACGATTTAAATGATCTTATTTCAGTGGAGTTTTCTTTTCTGATTTGAAATAAATGACGCTGTAAAATTAAGTTATGATTCTTCACACTTTTAATTTTTTAAATGTTTAAACATGGCTCCAAATTTGTTATGTGCCATTGTTCTCTTTCTACTAAAGCTACAGCTCTATAGAGGCTGAATCATGGCAGTCCCTGTTTGTGGCCCTCTCACCACATTGAACTGGAACAGTAATAGTCCCGCCCTTCCACTCCATTCTTTAGCTTTCTGATTACTCAGATATTACTGTGCCTCCTTCTGTGTGAGAATCATCTAAAAACTAAGCACCAAAGGCATCACCGAGGTGAAAACAGTTGCTGGTTCATTGAAACACTGCGTACAGGTAAACATTGCAAACTCAGTGTGACTTTTGGAGGTCTAAGTCATCATTGTTGCAATAACAATATCAGGATATATCATTTATTTATTTTTTATTGTTGTCTGAAGTATTTCAGTCAGTGTACAATAGAGATAACAATTCTAGTATGCATTGAAAACCGTTTACACTTCAAAAAACCAAAGACTTCAGACTTGACCTTGTACAATAAAGACTCAGAGTCGAGGTTTGGGACTCGAGTCTTGCATCCAGCTGTAACAAACAATAAAGTTCAAATTGTGGAGCATCAATACAGCACAAACCATATAACATAACACAAGTTGTTTTGGGGAGACCATTTGGTGTTTATTGGACGTTAGAACATCAATTTCAGCCGTTAGAGACTTGAGACTTGCAAATAATGACTTGTGAACAGCACTAAAACATCAGATTTTACTCCTAATTTGCAAGAACGTTTTGCTTGGTACCTTAGTTAATAAGCTGCCACACCGACTTCGTCATGGCTCGGGTTCAACTTCTGAGGTTTTAGTCTTCATCAGCAATGAAACAAACATTAATCCTAATAAAACCAAATATGTCGTTTGGGGGATTTTTTGGTTTTATTTTCACATTCGTTATTACCAGTTAGACCTCAGAGGGTTAATATGCACTTTAATGTCAACCTAGAACTCTGTCATGAAAAAACAAACAAAGCTGTTGGAAAATGTAAAAATTGCAGCAGGAATGTAAACGGACATTTTTTGCTCACTTCCTGCTCCACAACTTACTAATTGGAATTTACATGGAGGAATGTAATGTAGTCACTGCCGTCCTTTCTCTGCTGTGGCACTCAGGAGAAAGGACCCAAGTGCAGAATTCAAACACGGGGATGAACTGAAGGAGGCTGCTTTACTGCAACTTACACAAAAAAAACACTTAAAAAACCAAACTAAAACCTAGAAACTGGGACCTAAAAGCAAAACACTGGGAAACTAGGGATGGTGATCTCGGGGAGCCCAACAGGAGAAACCCACACAGCATAAGGAGACGACGCGGCACAAACAGAGAGAAACACAGGGCTAAAATACACTGAGGGATAACGAGGGAATGGACACAGGGGGAGAGCACAGCTGGGACTGATCACACTTGACAAGACAAGGGGAGGCTAGAGACACAGACATGAGACAAGGGACCGTCAAGTAAAATAGCATGAAAACAAAGGGCGCACAGAGAACACCTAAACACTGGAAGAAAAAAAAAACACCAAAAAACTAGAAAAGACTAAAAATTGATAAACACAAAACATAAACATGGAGTCACCAGACATGACAGAAAGAGTTTGATGTGGATGGACCTCAGTCACGCGTTGGTCCCTTAATTGGCACTCAGTGATATGCACTCTGTAGTGTGTTCATTTACTCATTTTGTCATTGCATCACATCCAACAGCTGATCTGCATAAAAAAAGACATATTTTCATGCCAATGGAAAGAAATTCACAAGTTTTCTTTTTTTTTTTTCATTGGACACATGTGTGACCACCTATCAACAGACATTGTATCGTGCTCTCAGGGACTGACAGGCTGGCTGACCCTTGGACAGTCTTGCCACTTCTTGGTATGGGTCATGTCACTGTACTTGTGTTTCAGACTCTGTCATTTTATTATTATTATTCTTGTTCACAGTTTGGGTTTTCTTTAGCTCTTGGTGATTGTAGTCCTTTCCCCCCTTAGTAGTTATCTTGGCGTGTGTCTACATCTCCCCGTGTAACTGCTTTCAGTGTTAGTTCCACGTTTCTTAGTGTTTTAGTTCTCATTTCCAGTGTTTTGTTTCTAGTTGTCATTTTCTGTGTCTAGTTTGGATTTTTGTGAGTTTATGTTTATGAACAATTCTCCCCAGTTACTGTGTGTCCTCAGTCTAAGTTTCGGTCTGTGTGTTTCTTGTTTTGTTTTCATAGCCCTTGTCCTAGTATCTAGTTTTTCTTTCCCTTGTTTTATTTTGTCTTTTAGGCCCAACAGTGTTTCCACCAGTTCCCCATCCTGTCATGTTCCTGCCTGTGTATTTTAGTCTTCCCCTGATCGTTGCTGTGTCACACCCTCTCCGTGCTGTGTTTTCTCCTTGTGTTAATGGTGGCTTTCGAGTTATCTGTTCAGTTTTGTTTTATAGTTTCCCAGTTTTCTAGTTGGTGCTTATTGCTTCGAGTTTCTAGTTTTGTTTCCTTGTATTCATGTTCGAGTTTTCCCCAGCAAATAAAGCTGCCGCTTTGAGTTTAACTTTTGCTCTATGAGAGTCCTGCATTTGGGTCCTTCCTCCTGCCTGCCGCAGCACACATCATCACAGTGCACACCAAGCTTTGGTACCTTTCTGATTTTGAAGCTTGTCTTTGGTTATTTAGTGGCTTTGTCTACCATTTCAATAGAGTCTGAGGGGTTTTCACACATTTTCAAGTTTTAGACGGTAAACAATGTTAGATTTTGAAGCAAAATTGGAAAAAGAAAAATCAGAATCTGATGGACAAGTTTCAAATCTTTTTGTTTTTATTTTCAGGGAAAGACTCTTAACCTGAATCTCTTCAAGGAGAAGAACTCTGTTTATTAATGTCAAACTACCTCTGAGCCTGACCTCTCATTCCCACTCAGGCAGACGTGCTTTCAGTTACATGTGGATTTGTGTGCAGCAGCGACATGTGGCTCTACAGTGAATGCAAACATCTTCACCAGTCAGTTTCCACACAAAGAAAGAGAGGAGAGTTTTGTGAAAAGGCTCCAAGCACTATTTACTATATGTGGAGCAGTTGGAGGGGAGTTTATGGATGCTGTATTGGTGGAGTATGTGGCACTTTGGGGGCAGTTTGTGCAGCAGCTTTCAGCTGATTTTGATGAGATGTTGACGCGGTCGGTGCGACTGTTGGCTTTGTGAGCAGTTTATTTGGGTGAATACTGCTGCATTTTATTTTGAACACTTTTCTCTTGTTACTGTCAGTTTAAGAGGTAAGCTGTTGTATTTTGGTTTCAGTTCACTCCATATTAATTCAGTTTAATTCTGGCTAATTTGCTTTAAATTGAGTTGAATTTTTCTATGTTGTGATTTGGTTTTTGAGTGTGTGGGCAAGCTTGTGAAAGGGCATTATTATGCCCATTAGTCCACCTTACCACCGCACCTGACTGTTGTGCAGCCCGTGGAACAAATGATCCTGAATTCACTCTTACTTTTCCTGTTTTGCTTCCACCACAATAAAATCACACTTCATGCAGAGCTTGCTGTCTCTCTCTCTCTTTCTCTCAGTTTCCCGTCTAAAAATCTGTTTTCTACATTATTCGCTTGCTTGTTACGCACAAATCTACCGTTGTTTACAGCGCTGTCGGCCGCTGTTTTTTTCCTTTTACTTACTTCCGAAAAGAAAGCCTCATTTCTGCTGTTTAATAGGTTACTGAACAAATTTAAACTTTTTAAAATTATGCAAAATTGCAAAAGGCTCAGCTGTGTCTCTAATAAAACCTCTGTAACTTTGCTCTGCTTCACTTCAGCAGCATCAGGTAATGTTCATGTGTTGATTAATGGTTTTCTT